CGGATGGGCGCCTCCGGAGGCCCTGATAAGGCTCCCGGGGCCGGCCACAGCGCAGAGGCCGTGGCATCGCGCGGTAGCTGCGGTGACGACGGCAGCGCCCCGGGGACCCGCACGCTGCGAGCGCCCCGCTGCAGCCAGGGGCCCTGCACCGAGGTGGTGGCTTTTGCATGGAGAGGGGGACTTGGATCCCGCATGGAAAGCTGCATTCCCGGAGGTGGAGGGCAAGGAGGACGCTGCAGAAGGGACCCATCCATGGACAAAAACACATGTGGAGACATCACTGACTTCTTCAGGACTCACCCTGTGAGGCTTTTTCTGACTGCTGGGTCAGGATTCTACCTTTCTTTTTTCCCTTTTGCCCAGAAAAAAAAAACCAGAAAATCTGCAAGTTTGATATATAAGAATCTTAAGGAAATAGATCTCTGTGAGGAGCTGCTTGTGTGGCCTTCGACTGATGCAGAGCAGATAAAGAGAGCGGAGGCCGACAAGCCCCCGGCCAGGTCACACATGCACAGGGCTCCGTGCGCTCAGGACCTCCCTGGCCCTCAGACCGCCTGCAAAAAACCTCCAGCTTTTTACTCTCCCTCAGCAGAGCCAAGACAGATCAGATACAAGGAGCACAAAGCCCCAATTTTCCGAGGAATCGGCCCCTGGGTGATGCTGCCACCAGCGAACCATGTGATTAGGGAAGGACAGAAAGGCCCGTTTTGTGCTGGAGCGGCGCGTGGGGAAGAATTAGCTTTTTGTGTTTTCTAGGGCATAAACAAACCCAGGAAGGGCCCTACCTCCGGGCCCAGCAGGTTTCTTCATGGGACAGTGCTTGCAGAGCAGCTGGGTGCTCCACAGCTTCGTCTCCAAAGGAGAAGCAGGAGAACGTGACCTAGCTTTGAATTAACATAAAGGTTTAAAGTGCTTAAAGGGGCTTATTCCTTCCACGTACGCAGCAGCTGCTACCAGAGCAAGCTGCGTTCAGTGGTTGGGTTTATTGGGGCAGATACCATCTCTGGCACGTCGAACACGCCAGGCAGGCGAGCTCCACCCTGGAGCTTACTCACCGCATCGCTTCCCACCTCGGCGAGGGATGACGGTGGCAGAGAGCGAGCCAGGGTGGCAGCTCCGAGGCCACCAAGCGGAGGGAAAGTCGAGGGACTTGTTTGAAGGCTTCTGGGAAGCCTCACCCAAGGGCAAAGTCCACCAGTGACTTCAGTGTGTTCTCTCACCTGCAGATACCGGTGCTGCATTTGACTAATATCGCTAAACCCCGGGCAGCACCTGCTTGCTTCGTTTGAAGCCTTAGCCAACAAGGGGGAAACCCCTCGCAGCAGAAACTCAGAGAAGAGGGATAGAAAAGAGGTGGTGTCTAAAATGCAGCTGCCTTCCAGCCTCTGAAAGCGTTCAGCAGCAGCAAAAAAAGGGGGAAAAAATTGCACACGATTGGCAATTTTCCATGCTGCAAAGAGGCTGAGATGGGTCGTGTCGGTCTGCAATGGTTTGGCTTCACAGCAAAGCACGTGCTGGAGGCCGGCAGTCAATTCCTACCTCTGAATTGAGGAGAAAGTCAGGCTTTTCAGGCAAATGTAATGCTGGAAGCATCCCTTGCCTGTGAGGCGATCCCCGCTGCCGGCAGCGCCGCAGGATCTCTTCCTTTCATGGAAGTGTTGTTCTGTTCAAGATGAAACTGCACCGACCCCATGGGGCTGCTGCAGGAAGGGACTTGGCCACTCTCTGCTTAGGTCTCTATTCTCAGGACCAGTCTTCACTACTCGGGTGCTATTTCAAGGGCAAAGCTGCCTGCAGGGGTAACTAGAAACAAAAGCAACGAGCCCTGTTAAGCATGTGAGCAAAAGGTCACAGGTTGGAATGAGAATAGTCTCAGAATTGAGTGACACCTGCCCCTATCACCAGGTAAGGGGTTGTCCTCAACCTCAGAGCTATTCCATACTTGGAGAATACTGCTCTATCCCATAGTCATTGCATCTAGTTCCAAGCTCCCATGCAGAAGGACACACAAGCACCATGTTTGCTCCAGGTAGGAGCGAACCTCAAAATCTCCTTTATTTCAAGACACCCCCTCAAGGCTCTACGTCCTCATGTGATATTAGCCCTGTTCTCCACGAGAGGGAGACGCTGCCCGGCACAGCCGGCGGGAGCTTCCCAAGCGCCGCGGCGCCGGCCAGGGCCATTCCCAGAGCCCCAGCGCGCGGCTTCGCCCTGCAGTGATTTCCAGGGCAGGTTTGTCCTCACCTGCTTCTGCTCTAAGCGGTTGATCACTTCCCCCGCTCAGACCTCCTTTATGAGGAACCCAAGATAGAGTAACAAAATGATTTATTCTCATTTCCTCTTCTTGTAGAGATCAGTTATGTACAGAAACTGTAAAAAAACCTTAAGAGCCTTCTAAGAAGAGCAAGTACAGATGCCGCTGGAAATAAAATCACAGGTACTGGAAGGAACCGAGTGTCAGTTCACTTCGATTGCGGAATGAGCCTTGTGGGGGGTCTCTCTCTTTTTCAAATATCCTTGATGACCTCTTCGAGCTCCTCTTTCGTGTACAT